TTTTAACAGGTTATCGAAAATGGCCACAGGACCACATGGCCGGAATCTCAATCTAAGATTTCGTTAGTTAGGGGTCTGGGGTCATGGTCTTGATTAATGAAATGCATACAATTCGTCGGATACCCCGTGGGGATCCCTCTCCTATCTGTATCCCCTGATAAGCCGCCTTCACTTGTTACCGGCAGGCCTCGACATTTGGATAGCTTAACGACCTCCGCACGGCTACTATCTCCCCCTTCGGCAACTATAATCCGGTCATCCCAGCAGGCGGAGCAAAGTCAAATCAAACAGCCCGGCAAAAAGTCACCCTCACTCTCCGAGTCAACTTCAAGGGGGGAAGCGACTCACATAAGAGCATCGAATCCTATCACATCTCGAGGCTGCCATGCACGCGACCTTCGATTTTGCCAGCACAAGGAGAAAGAAAGGTTGACAACTCTGGTCCTTGGTCCTGGTCCGGCTTGAGCTTCCACATTTTTTTTTTGGATCCGTTGCTCGCACCCAAAAACAAAACCCCCGGCAAGGGCTTGAAGAATCAGCCATGGAGACCCTCACCGTTCAACACGCAGGCAGACAGTCCATTGTGGCGGTGGACCGCGACAAATTCTCTGCCGATGCGATCGCCCTTCTCGCGCAGGGCCACGAAGAAGCGATGCCCCGAAATTTTGGCTTCTGGTCCACCCTGTCGTTGGCTTTTGTCATTACCAACTCCTGGGTCGGATATTCGACCACCTTCGGTGTCTGTCTCGTCACTGGGAATGGTCCCACGGTCATCTTTGGCTTGTTGGTCGCAACCATTGTGTGTTCAATCATCACCGCGGGCCTGGCAGAATTGGCGAGTGCTTTCCCGTCCTCCGGCGGCCAGTATCAGTAAGCACCACCGAGACTCCCATTTCTGAAACCAGCCCCTCACACAGTACAGCTTTGCCTTCATGGTATCTTCTCCCGCCTATCGTGCCCCCGTGTCCTTCGCAGTAGGTTGGCTCAGTATCTTTGCGTGGTGGATGGCCACCGCGGCCGCATGCATTGTGTGCGCGCAGATCATCATGTTCCTCGCGGGGTTGTGGCACGACGACTTTGCAGCGGCGCAGTGGCAGACCTACCTCGTATACCTGGCCGTGCTTGTCATCGCGATATCCTTCGTCATCTTCTTCATGCGCCAAATCCCCAAGGCCGAGATTGTCTTCTTTGGAATGACTCTTGTCGGTTTCGTCGTTTTCTTCATCTGCGTGCTTGCGAGAAGCGCACCGAAACAATCGGCAAAGACCGTCTTTACAGATTTCGTCAACATCACTGGCTGGACCGACGGATTCGCCTTTATGCTCGGGGCCAGCCAGGCCATGTTCACCTACCTGGCCATCGATGGTGCCACACATGTTGCTGAAGGTACGTGTTTGGTTTTTTTATCACTTTGGCGCATCATTAAACTCAGGCTGACACCGGGGGCCGGCCCCTTTCAGAAATGCCTAACCCCGGAAAGGGTGTCCCTCGAGCCATGGGACTGACCATGTTCATTGGCATGATCACCGTCTTTATGTGGACGCTGGCCTTTATGTTCTCCACCAGCGACCTGGAGGCGGTCGCCGCTAGCGGTGTCCCCATCATCACCGTGTATCAGCAGGCTCTTCGATCCAAAGTAGGCGCCACGGTCTTTGCCGTGTGGCTCCTGACCATCTTCTTCGGTGCATTTGTCTCGTGTCTGGTTACGTGCGGCAGATTGGTTTGGGCCTTTGCCCGCGACAACGGGTTGCCGTACAGCAAAATCTTTGACAAGATCCATCCGAAGCTCAATGCGCCCATCAACTCGACCATTCTCACGGGCGTCTTCCTGGCTTGCTATGGCGCAATCTACATCGGCTCCACCAATGCCTTCAACTCCTTCATCTCTCTTTCGATCCTGGGCATGAACATGACCTACGTCATCCCCCAGGCCATCGTCTTCCTTCGCGGCCGGGACAAGGTCCTGCCCCCGCGACAATTTTCTCTGGGACCGTGGCTCGGACCCTGCTGCAACGCGTTCTCCTGCGTCTGGGTCTTTTTTGTCGGCATCCTGTTCTGCTTCCCCCTCACTCGCCCAGTCACCAAGGACAACATGAACTACCTCAGTGTTGTCCTCTCGGGCCTGTGCCTATTCACCCTCGTTTGCTGGTACGCCGGCAAGAGGAAGACATTTACCGGGCCGAACATTGATTTGATCGGAATCAACTTGGTCCAGAGCAACGGAAGGCAAGCCCCAGATGACATGAAGGAACAGGCACATGGAAAACTTGCCGCCGACACCGAGTCTACGGCACTGCCCGCCCCCGGCACTTCCACCACTGAATCCAACGCTTGATTGATGCTGGCTGGATCGGCCGATCAAATTACTTCACGGTGTGGAATTTCGATCTGGAGAGGGGGCGCCTGTGGGTGCTATCACAGCCTCGATTGATCCCGAGTATGCATAGATAGCCGTTATATGTACCTAATTGAGCTTGGAAATGACTGACTCATTATTCCCGACGTCCTGTACCTTTTCATCTTACAGATGCGTAGATGAACAACTCTACAGATGGTGCCGAGATGGGTGGGAACCAATTTCATGCGTTCGATTTATATGGAGCTCAATCCAACCCCAGGCTTGTCTGAAGAGTTGTGTGGGGGTTTGGAAGAAAGAAAAAAAAGACTCTATCTGCTCTTTTATGCACCACTTTGTTCTTGTCTCCTGTGTCGGACCAAAGAGCTTCACAACTTGGCCAACTTATCACGACTGATAAAAGCGGTACATTCAATCTCCACATCCGTACCGCGAGCCAATGCGGCCACGGCGACGGTGGCGCGCGCCGGTCGAGGCTCGGCGAAGAATTTGTTGTAGGCTTCGTTCATGGTTGGCACGTCGTTCATGTTGGTCACGTAGATGTTGACCTTCAGAATATTTTCCTTGCAGGATCCGGCGGCTTCGAGGACATTCACAAGGTTCGTCAGAGCTTGGATCTAGCCAATACACAATGTTAGAAGAGTGCGCGCGCGTGCTCTCAGCAAGACTTTCTAGACGGGTGAGGACGACGAGGTGAGGTCAAGAAATGAGAGGGGCTGGCCCTGGTAGAGAGGACGTGATAAAATAACCGCGGGGAGGGGACGAACGCACCGTTCGGTCACCAATTGTGCCTTGAACAACTGTCATAGTCTTGGGGTCGGTTCCAACCGACCCGGAGCAGTACACGATGCCATTGTGGACAACCGCCGGGGAGTAGGTAGGGTTGGCTTTCGGAGCTCTGGGGGAGATGACCACTCTCCTCTCAGAAGAAGACATCTTAAAATGTGGTCACCGGAAGGAATGGCAAGGACTCGCAGTGCTCGATGTCGGAAGGCAGCCTGGATTGTTGGGGGGGCAAAGATGGAAGAAAACTCAAGATGCTTGACGGACCGCTTTTAAGAATAGAGGAAGAAAGTCATGTCCATGCGGCGGCGAGACTGTGAGCGTTCCATTTCACCTCTTTAGCTCTGCAATCTTGAGGTTGTCAGATCTAGATTGAATGCAGCAGCCGCAGTGTGAAGCCGCTGAGCATGGAAGGGTATTCTTGCCTGGCGTCCGCCGACAAATATTGCCTATTAAGGTAAGGCGTCTGGTAGCCCGTCTTGGGCGTGAGATTCTATCAGTGGCCAATCAGATAGTGGCAGTTGCCTGTACAGTGGGTCCCCAGGCTACATGTTGCTCTCTCAGGAAGGTTGTAGAGGACCCATGCAGTAAAAGCCCTTAGTCCAGGTTAGAGTTGCTGATTCTGGCAAGTCGCGGGGCTTGGTTGACCCTATTCCAGCGCTTGAACAGAGTCCGCGAGCCTGGCCGGTCTGTTAGAGAAAGTCCAAGACTCTTTCGGCCTCCCCGCACATCGCTCCTTACATATACAAGAGATCCTGGCTGTTGGCAAGATTGGCTCAAGATATTCTGTTGCTACAAACAAATCCATACCAAGTACAATCATGGCTGGTTCGCAATGGGAAGGAAAAGTGGTGAGTGCGTGAAGATATGTTGCCTTCCGGTCCGCCAAGCGCTGAACGTTCTTGACAGTATGCCATTACTGGCGGAGCCTCTGGCATGGCTCTTGAGATAGCCCAACAGCTCTCGCGCCGCGGCGCCATTGTTTCTCTGGCCGATGTCAACGAAGATGGCTTGAAGGCAGCTCTTAAAACTCTGGCTGGTGACAAGCACATCTATACCGTTGTCGACGTCCGCGACAGTGCCGGTGTCGAACAGTGGATCGAGAAAACCGTCACTCAACTAGGCCGCCTGGACGGTGCCGTCAACTTCGCCGGTATCTGTGTGTTTAAGAACACAATCGCCCAGGAAACCGACGAGATCTGGAAAAGGACCATGGACATCAACGCGACTGGCGTCTTTAACTGTATCAGATCTCAGTTGAGAAGAATGAAGAAAGGAGCCAGCATCGTACGTCTAGACATAGTCTGAGCGGCTGCTTCTTCCCTACCGTCGCTGACACTGTTAATAGGTCTCGGCAGCCAGTGTGGACGGCCAGATCGGCTGGCCCTTGCTCGGCGCGTATTGCGCAAGCAAGCATGCTGTCATCGGCTTGTCCAAGAGTGCGGCGAGGGAGAATCCCGACATCAGAGTCAACTGTGTCGCTCCCGGTGAGCAAGAGATTTTCCCCACGTAGTATATGTGCTGACATGATTTTGAACAGGGAACGTCGATACCGGATTGGTGGACGGTGCTGAAGCCGAATCAAGTGAGGAAATCCAGCGACAGGTCCAGAAACGTTTCGCACAGCCAATTGAGATTGCGAATGTCGTGCTTTTCCTGTTGAGCGAGGAGGCAAGCTTCGTTACCGGCGCCACCTGGAATGTTGACGGTGGCTGGGTGTGCTGATGGTAACATAATCATCAGTTCTGCTTCCTGTCGGTGGAAGTCAGAGATAGCTGCCCTTGACGCGCGCCGCAAACGCTAGTTGCTTATGAATGTTCCAGAACCTGTGAATACTCTCATCGACGCGGAAGACGCGCGGTCATCCGAAAAGGGTCTCAAGCTTGCAGTCGATCATCACATCCATCCAATGATTTTGTAGAGTAGATAGGCTATCCGTCGCCTTCTGAGCCATGTCTCCCTCCATGTCATTATCAAATCTCTTCCAGACTTCATCCAACAGCTTTTCTGCCCGCTGAAAGATTTCTGAGAGACCCCAGCCCCCGGAAGTTACCTCCATTCTTTGACGGAGGAAAGAGCGATGTCTCTCGACCGCCTGGCGTCGCATAGCTATCAACGCAAGCTGGTCGTCAAGGGTGAGGATGTCGGCTGCATCGGCCGACGAGGATTCAGGGTCGGGAAGTAAGTACCAGACACTACCACAGATGATGAGCACCAGCGTTTGGTGCATATTGGACTCGTGTCTGATGGGAAAGTCCTCTATCAGGCTCAGAATCACTCTCGCAAGCTCGTGCACCCGGCGCCATTGGTCTTTGAAATCGTCCACAGGTGTGTTCTCGAACGCACGTGTAACAGAAGTCGATGGGTCTCTTGTTGAAGGACTGGTCACCAACCAAGGGCGATGGGACAGCTCGGGGAAATTTCGGTGCAGCTCCAAGAGACTTGCTAACCTATACATCTGTGCAAAAGATCGCATTTGCTGCAGCACCTCCGGTCGGCTCTCGAGGCCCTGAACAATGTCTGTCGGTGGCAATGTATATTGAAGAGCGCTCATTTCCAGAGACGCCGCGCGCTGTAGCACTCGGGACTTTAGTGAGGTGTATGCTTCATCAGTCCCCCATCCAAGGCCTGCCAGTTTGTCAAGAACCCTTCGCTGACGCAGGCAGATCCCGACCCGAGCCATGATGATGAAGACTGGGGTGCCAATACCGGTGCAATTGTTCGGAACGACCACCTCGGGGTTTTGAGAGAAGGGCAGGAGGTAATCGACCGCATCAAGTGGCTGGTCAATCACAAAGGCCAACAAAGCTTCCCAGTAGGCCATACTGCCAACCAGAAAAGACTGCTCCGGGTCGAGCTTCATTCGTGGCACCGAGTCATGCTGCACCCAATTTTCGATAGTTGTAAGCCAGTATTCAAACAACTTTCGTGCGCCGAGGAGGTGAGGAACCCCAATGTCAGTTGAGTCGAGCCATGGCTGAGAGAGGAATCAGCATAACCTTGCCATATATTGAGTGTGTCGGAGGTATGGAGAGCTGCTCCAAGGCCGAGGTCGATACCCATCTTAGAGACAAAAGCAAGGGGGTGGAACCTACAGAAGAGTTTCCGAGTAGAATGGATGCCAAAAGAGCCTCTTGAAGCTGATCCTTCAGGCCTGCTCCTGCCGTCGGATTGGACTGGACCGTGTCGTTCATGGTAGACATTCGCGAGTCGAGAGCGGTTACAGCGTCAGACAGGTTCTTGACCGCAATAGAATGGTAGTCGATGCATACCGGAAGCATATTGCGGTCTCCTTTGAAAAGATGGATTGCGCACATACTGGCCACGCATGAAGAGATCAATCGCGAAGTCTTCAGTCGCCGTCCGACGAACGCTCGGAATGGTGTAGCCGGATCATCCCATGTACTATGCAATTCGCAAATTTTGTCGAAATAATACTTCAGCAGCACTTCGGGGTCTTTGTATATCTGCCAATTCTGACTCGACCGTTGCTGGACAGGGTCTCTTGCGATGGTTGCTGGATTTGATGACAACGCAGAGTCACGGTCTCCACTTGCAGCCGAGCCTGTGCTGAGATTTGCCGAAGGAGTACTCACCGGTGGATGAATCCGGGCTTCGGTGTTCTCCTGAAGAACAGTATTGGAGACGGTGCTTTGGTCCAGAAACATTTGTCGTATATCCGGGCTGGCGAAATACAACTCCGGAGAAGGATCCGATTGCGGGGCGAAGCTCCCGTTTTGCAAGCTCAAGCCGCCTTGTGGAAAGTACGTATAGTCTGCGAGGGTCCGACAGCCCGGCGAAGATGGGGAGAGATTGGCCACTTCAGGCGCGCATTGCTCAGACTGGTCCTGAGGCGACTGACCAACTTCTTGGGCCCGGTGTTGGAATTCAGGGCAGGGCCGCGTCTCTTCTGCGGGCTCTTCTGTAGGTTCTGCTGCGGGCTCTACTGCCGCCGCTTTGGACGCGAAGACCTCGTGCTTTTTGGACCAGCGGATTTCCTGTATGTAGCCTGGACACGCAATGCCACGTCGCTGACATTGTCGACAGCTCGGCCTTTTCTCGTCGCATTTCAGTTTCTGTCCTACGGTTAGCACTTGGACACGACAGGAACGACAGAAGACTTACCCCTTGCCTACATTTGGCGCACCCATCTAGCGATAAAACGGATTAGCACCTCTAGTGTCACCACAGCTCGAATGAGACTCACGTCGCGATCGACTATGCTTTGGCATGGTTGGAATTCGAGGCGGTATGAAGGAGTCACGCGTAACGTTGATGTATTCCATCTGTAAAAGAACGTCTTCGTCGTGCAGTCCACCGTTATCGAGCAAAATTGAGTCGATGAATGTTGAAATCAACAGGGTCCTGTAGAAAGTCGGACTACTATCGGATAATAATTGATCCGGTCGAGGGGCCAGCGTGACTAGTCATTACATCACCTTGGCGGGCGTGCCAGTTTACTCCGCACTGTCCATTCTCTCCAATGGACGATAAACGAGGAGAAATAGAAGGTTTGAGGCACGACTAACACTCTATTCTCTGTCTGAAGCAAAAGGCTTAATTGATCTGTTACTGTTGCTTGAAGAGTGTCAAAACAACTGCCAGCACCACCACCACCATCAAATGCCTTGCATAGTCATGTGACTGCGCCAACTCAACCACCTCTCCAGCCCATTACAATAGTAGAGGATAAGTTAGCGGATCAAGACGCAGGTGGAAGGGTAGAGAGGCAACAATCAACTCAACCTTCGCCTTATGGAGGTAGCGTCCGCACGGTCTACTGCAGGGTAGACGCAAGCCTAGACCGAGACTCTGACCATCTTCCGATTGCCGTAGCTATCGACTGGAGCTGGCAACCCGCCACTCCATGAAGGGAGCGGTTGTGATCCAAGACAAGCCTATCACTACTTCAGTAAAGAGTTGAGGCGCGACTCCCTTGAAGGTGGTGCCGCCCGTCGCTGACAAGACTTCTCTTAAGCAAGCCATATCTCTTCTCTCTTCCCTCCTCGGTCGCGTACTTGCCCAAAGTTACAGAGGCAAGTCCGCCAAAGGTGTCGATTAGGCTCTCATTGAGGGGGCCGCTTGAAGCTCATCTCGTCGAGGTCGTCCTTGATTTATCCGTAAACGGCGGTATTCTCCTTTCAACGTAAACAGGTCCTCTTTTGTTGTCAGAACTGCTCTCAGGGTCACCTCTTGATACAGACCCGTTCCAATACTCATAGGCGTCTGATCCATATCGATCTAATGCGGGACGATTTGCTGCCTTGTGCATATAAGCTATGCTCTCTTGATGATATCTTTCCCATCGTCCGTCAAAGTCATCCTCGTCCAGGTCCTGGACTCTCTCTGTTCGTGGAGATATTTGGGGTCTTTCAGTACGACGATTTGCTGCCTTACGCATATAATCTCGGCTGTTGCGATGATGTATTTTCCATCTTTCGTCGTCCAGGTCCTGGACTCTCTCTGTTCGTGGAGATATTCTGGATTTTTCTGCAGGACGATCGAAGTAAGAGGCTGTCTTCGATTGCGGGAATTCCACAGAGGGCTGGATCACCATATAGTCCATGTCGCTATTCGTGTCCTCAAAGTTCGCGGGCCTTCTGGTTTGAGCTTCCTCGTTGCCTTTTATGCTGCTCTTCTCTCTTTCCATTTCCCTCAATTTGTCTTCAAGCTCCGCTATCTTCTTCTGCGAGGCGGCGTACTTCTCTGCGATTGAATTCGTATACCGGGCATCTGGAGAGTTCGCCGTTGGTCCATATGTAGTCGTCGCATGTTCCGAGGGCTCGTGGCTGCGTAAGGCCTCTCCAGGGTTAGCCGACTTGGTTCTACTGCCGCTACTTTGCCGTCCCAGATCTTCGCTGAAAGGGATGTGTCCCGGGTTTCTAGAAGCATTGCTGATATCCCCGTTTACATGGTTGGTTTCGTCCGCCAATGTCGTCCACTGGTCGAGTAGATCCTTCAATAGGTTGACAGAATTCTGCATCACCAGAGCTCGCTCCTCGGATGAAGTCTTAGCTTGTCCCAATGACTCGTGTTTATACTACTCCCGAAAAAAGTCCAACTGACCGTTCACTGTCTTTGTAGTTGTACTCGTACCCCTGAGGCCTTTTTGTCATCATATGTAGTACATTTAGGATCCCCCGCTATGAGTCCATAACCTGAGCCATCTCACCACACCACACCCAGAAAAAGGGGGTTCCCAAGTCATGATCACCAAAAAGAAACATCGGCAAGGAACTCATCATCATCATTGATATTATTGTTGTTGTTGAACCCCCATTCCATGGCGCCCGTGTCTCCAAAATCAAACATTCCATCTGGAGTCTGGCACGACAAGCGACCATGGGTTAGTGTAGCCCTTTTGCGATTATACTTTCTCAGATTGAGGAGAGAAAGAAAAAAAAAACAGAACTTACCATGAACGCACACTCGTCAAGAGCTTCGAATCCCACAGTCGACACACCCAAGGAGGAGGTCAGATCACGTCCGTCGCCATTCCCGTTCCCGTTTGCATTCGTGTTCGTGTTCGTGTCCTTGTTGCCAACACCAGCCTGCTCCTCCAATACGGCAATAGACTCCCTCATGGCCTCTTCTGCTCTCTGCAGCAAAAACCTCGGAATGTCGTCCTTGTCCATCCCACGCATCAACGCGTCGACTTGTGCGGCGATCAAGCATGAAAACACGTATCCCTTGATGTTCGTCTCGCCGATCTGCATGCCGTGGTGACACCAGGTCTTTGCCTCCTGCACGACAGGCAACAGGTCGGGTCGTAGAGGTGTGAATCCCATCCCTACGCCGTCTTGTTCTTCAAGTTGTGCGCAAAGTTCTGCGGCGACGAGACAGGAGGCTTGGAAAAGTCCGCTGCGGTAGACTGGGTAGAAGCCGTATCCGGGGCCACCGCAGGCCGTGGAACCTGGTGAGGGTGTGTTGACGTTGAGAGTGGCGGTGACGCCACTTGCACCTGCACCCACTTGCTCAGAAGACGATCGGTACGCCACGTACCACATCTTCAACGACGACTCGAGCACGACTTTCCGAGTATATGCGTACGTGGCTTCGTGCATGGATTGTTCAAAAAACGGAATGTGAACGGTCAATAGGTACCGGTTCATCATGAGGTCTGTGGTCATGAGTTCAAAGGTGTTGGGTCCTGGCCGCCCGAATCCATCTGACGAGGTCGACGACGACGATGACAACATGTTTTGCAATGTTCGAGTGAGTGTCTTGTATGCCGTTCTCATCTCCCCGTCAAGTTGGAGCACGTGCTCATATCGTCCGTTGACTCTGAGATCATTCAAGAACTTCACGACGGCCAGACGCACCGCCAACGATTTCCGAAGAGCAATAGCCGTCGACACTTGGGTATACACGTTCTCGGGTTTTACCGCGGGGGATTTCTCCTCCAGCTGGACATCGTCGAGATTACTCGGTGGCTTTGTGTCGAAGTCGTCCATGGACACAAGCACAGGACCACCAGAGGCCATGCTTGCCTGCAGACAGATCTCAAGGACCGTGTTCCATAACCGTCGGCGCATCTCTGTAGCGAACACCGTCGACCCGACTGGACTAGGGTGGTCGCGATTCAAGCCCATGTAGATGGCTCGTCTGTACAGCTCACCCGCAGAGATCCACGTCAAGTCTCCGCAGACGTCGACGAGCTCTCGTGCCACGATCAGCAACACGTTGATTTGCAAAGACTGCACGTTCAGCCTGATTTTGGAGTTCGGTGTGTTCAGCCACGTCTGGGCCTCGTAGACCCATCGCATGGCGGACGTACGAAGACTAAAGGTCTCGTCGTACGTGGCGCCAATTGCAAGGATCAACTTCAATTGAACCATGAAGGCGGTGTCGCGACGCCCGCCCTGGGGCAGAGTCCAGAGTGCTTCGACGTGCTTTCTGAACGTGGGGATGTGGATGATTCTATACACGGATTCGATTGTGCGGAGATAATTGTCGATGAAGTGTTCGACAACGTCTCTGGCCGGTAGATCGTCACTAAGTGGTGTCGGCCATACCGGCATTCGTGCCGATTTGATCACTTTCGCCAACGCTTTACACCGTCGCATGCCGGCTGGAATCACTGTGGGTTCTTTGCGCATGCGGGACTCGATGAGATGGAGAATGCCTCCAAACTGGCGTATGGGAAGGTCAGAATAAAGATAGCAACAGCAAGAAAGACGGAACGCAACGCAACGTAACATACCATGGAAACACCATTCATCCAGTGACTCTGGCCGAATTGGCGTGACTTATGGAATACTGTGCGTCCGGATATTCGAGGTTCGCCGAAAAAGTCCTGTCTACATTGTGCAGGGTCAGGCAGTTCTAGGGTCAACGGAGCAGGTGAAATGTCCTGGCTCTGGTCTGAGGTCATAGGAGGACGTCCTATCATCAAAGTATCGATGGGGATGTTTGTCGACAATGGAGTCCCAGTGTCATGTGGAGCTGTGGCGGCGCTGCTTGTTATGCTTGAGGTTTTCCCCGTTGATCCCGGAGATGTTTGTCCATCAGAGGCGGCGGGTTCCTCGGTATGGGGACGCTGTCTCAGAGGAGGGAAATCTTCGTAAATGCAGACGGCATCTCTCGAACGGGTGCAATTGTTGCATGGATGTTCTCGGTTGCATCGGATTTTGCGTTTCCTGCAGACTGTGCATGAGACTGCTGGTCTTCTTCTTCGGCGACGTTCGGGCTCGGACATTTGCTGACCAAGCGTGGTAATGGCCATGGCGGATTTTCCCTGGCAAGGTTGCAGCCAAAGGGTTCTTCGCCGTGCATCTCAGATGAGCAGTGCAAGATGAAGTGGAAGAGTCGCCGATAGTGATATTCGAGTCGGTCCGGATATAATTCTGCGCTTAATGTATGAATGCTTCACAATATGCCGATTCTTCTAACGGCGCGCTCCTGGCCACTCCTTGGGTGAGACCGTTGTTTGCATTGACCTGCTGTCTCGCCAGATCGTATATGCCAACGGGCTGTTGACTGAGAGTACAGCTACTGGCACAATCGGGGATGGTGTCTGCATTATTTGACACAAACATAATCACAAACATAATCCCTGGCGCAGACTAATGAGGTATATTAGCGGTGGTTGCGCTTGTACTTCGACGTAATCCGAGATGTGGATTTGCCTGTGTCCACCGTTGCACCAATCACCAGTCTCATTCGAGGTCCCAAAGAGTAAGTCTCTCTCCCCGGAGATATCAAAGGGATCCAGTCCAGGCCGACTCCGAAGACAATGGTGCCGGAAAATGCAAGCAAGCAGTTCTCGTATATAACTAAACCCCCTTGCATCTGAAATCATGTCGAGTGTGACACAATCCAAGTAACAATACCTCTCTTTGCAGATGACCATTCCAGTTTCCAGAACCGAACACACGACGAAGGTTGGTGTCCATATACCTAGACCTCCCACTATGGAGACTCGAGAAGAAGAAACAACCCAGACGCCACCAGCCGTCGAAGAGAAAGAGAAAATACCTTCCCCTGATCCCGAGCTGGGACAAGAACGGATCCAGAGTGGTGACTCGACGAAACCTGATTTCGACCCTCCGCCTGACGGTGGACTTCGGGCCTGGCTTGTGACAGTCGGCGCAGCCTGCATTACTTTCTCGGCATTGGGATTCACCAACGCGTTTGGCGTTTTCGAAGAATTCTATTTGTCACATCAATTGACAGAAAAATCACCAGACGACATTGCTTGGATTGGATCAATAGCAGCCTTCCTCCAATTTGCCGTAGGAGCCGTTGCTGGGCCTGTCTTCGATCGATATGGGATCTGGGTATGTCTCGGTCTTTCTGCTCTGGCGTCGAGTGGCAGACTAACGTTTGCAAGTAGATCCTCCGTCCAGCCATAGTGACATTCGTGTTTGCTTTGATGATGGTCAGCATCTGCAAGGAATATTGGCAATTCATGCTGGCTCAAGGCATCCTACTTGGATTTGCCTTGGGATTCCTGACTTTCCCACCATTGGGAGCCTTGTCCCAATACTTCGATAAAAAGCGAGGCGCTGCGTTCGGTCTGGCAATATCTGGGTCATCGATTGGAGGCATCGTTTTCCCGATTGCTTTGTCCAAGATGCTCAATAATTCTTCCCTGGGGTTCGGCTGGTCAGTGCGCATCATGGCATTTGTGCTGCTCCCATTAATGGCATTTGCTTGCATATTTGTCAAACCTCGCCTCCCTCCGCGGACGACGACCTTCTTCATCTGGAAGGCTTTTCAAGAAGCTAATTTCGTGCTGCTGATAGCGGCCCTCTTCTTCATATTCATGGGCATGTGGATGCCGCTTTTCTACCTGCCATCATATGCAGTTTCACAAGGCATGGATCCAACTTTGGCATCCTACCTCCTTGCAATCCTCAACGGAGCTTCAACGTTTGGTCGAATCGTTCCAGGCATACTCGCAGACAAACTTGGGAGGCTGAACGTGTTTGCAGCAGGCGCCCTCTCAACAGGTGTCTTGATCTTCTGCCTCACAAAGGCCGACACTACTGCAGGTTTGGTGGTGTATGCGGTCTTCGTCGGCTTTGCCTCGGGGACCATCATTTCGGGAGCGACGGCAGCCTTCACCCTTTGTACAGGAAGTCCTCAGGAGGCGGGAACTTACATGGGTCAAGGTTTGGCTATAGGATCACTGGCATCTTTGATTGGTCCTCCAGTCAACGGTGCTCTTGTCAAGCACTATGGAGGATATTGGGAGGCGTCAATCTTCAGTGGTGTCATGTGTCTGATCGGTGGTTTCATTGCATTTGCCAGCAAGGCTGCAACCTCAAAAGGAATCATGGGGAAAGTGTGACCATGCTCAGGACTGTGTGTATCGAAATTCTTTTTGTTTTTTCCTTCTTTGGATGAAGGCCTCTCCACTCTTGGTTTTGATGCAGTGGTGGTGGCAGTTTGCCGTAACATTTTTAATACGCAAGTGTGGATATCGAAGTCCATATTTTCATGTAGAGTGGATAAGCACAAAATTATAGAGCACTTTGATCGCGACCATTCTCTGTCAAGAGTATTCATCTGAGTTGATTCGATCGGCAAGAAAAGGCAAACGAGGTGTCTCGTGGTTATAAGAGTCAGGATGGTCCGTAATAATGCCAACGTTCAAGTGTGATAATTGGTAACGTGCTCCGTTTCTTTCAACCGTAGGCTTCTTCGTGGGTCGACGTAAGTCCATGGCACGCACATGAGAACAATTGGGCTCTGCATCTGCCCGTCTTCGGTAGTTTCTTAGTATGCCTGGCGCGTATCTTACTCGGGCTCCTAGACTGGCTTCTTCAACGACAGGCTGCTGGAAATATTAGCAATAAAAGTCTGGGAATTCATCAAAAGTCCAATGTATAGAACAAACACAAACCATCCCGGCCCCTGGGCGGTTCAAAGGCTTCAATTGTAACTCTCTGTCCTTTTTACTTGGATACGAACAAAGTTCATGGATGTATCACCACGGCAATGTATGTATGTATTGCCATGTCGAATTTCAATGTCAACGACGATACCACATGCACTTCAATAGTACAATGAGAGCTCGAGCATGATGATAGATGGAAGATCTTTTGCTTGCCTTGTACTCCCCTACACGCACTCAATTGTCCTCCCTTTTTTTTGGTATCGTTTCGTCAAGCCTGAACTCCTTTTCTGAGAAACAGGTATCACTCCTAAGTGATTGAATACTGGTTACATAGTTGTCCGTGTACCCCCTCTCCTTCGTGGATACATCCGTCGAGCCCTATCCTGCCTTGTCAATGAGTACACAGTCCCTGTGACCGCCTGGCCACCTGGCCGTCCATGAATTCACCCGGATATCTCCATCACCACCGATCAAATGTTCGCCCCGAAACCTCAACCGTGCATGTGGACCTCGACCACACCGCTCTTGTGCCATGTGGCCAACAACACGCCGCAGCTCCCACAGCGGTGTTGGACGTCCTTGAGCGAGTTCATCAGGTAGGGAATGAAGCAGAGGAGACCGGTCAGGCAGCAAGCGACGCCGGCCCAGACACTATGTAAGATTCAGCTTGTTGGCTTTGTCTTTACAAGGGAAGTGTAGGAACGTGGTGTCCGCTGGAAGATGAAAGGTAGAGGGTACGATAAACTTACTGCGTGGTGTTGCCTGTGTGGTAACTGACGTTGGTCATGGCCCGTTGGCCGCAGGCGGGACAGTCGACCGGCGCAGGCGACATGCCGAGATTGGGAACGGCTACGGCCTGGCGGAACTGGCCTGATGCAGAGCGATAGCCGGCCTGCTGGGGCGCTGGGAAAACTTTCTCGGTGTACTCTTGCTGCGGCGTCTGTTGCAGTACAGGAGTCGGAGCCATTACTTGGGCGGCGCCAGTAGGCTGTGGTGACTGTTGGAATCGAAGATCTCTGCACATGATTCATTAGCATGAGTTTCGAGCAGATCCGTGGGACCGAGGTAGGTACTTACGCCGGCATCAAAACTTCGGTGGCCTGGCTTTCCACTGTTGGGGGGCTTCTTGTTAGACTGCGTGTTCTATACCTGTATATGGATGTCACGGGCGACAGCGGGGGTATGTACTTACCACCATGAGAGGGCTTTTCAAAGGCAGGATTCATGTTTGTTGGAGTACAAGGACAAAAGTGCTAGTACGCGGAAAGGTAGAAAGGGCTGAACAGTTGAGTCGAGGGAATGGTGAAGGGACGAGTGAATGAAGAAGTGAGAGGTGGTCGAGGGTGGATATAAGTGATAATTAATAGCTGTCGACCTGTCCTTTAACTTCGACTGAGAAACAGCTGTGAGGAGAGGCAGATCAGATCAGGCTGAGCCAGGGCCAGGCCGGGGAGGTGGGAGGTGGCAAAGGCAACGACGTTACGAGGTACATGTGTTCTGGACGTTGGACGCTGGCTGTGCTAATTCATGACCCTCGTAATACAGAAACACGAAGCGCCACGAGTGACTTTTGGGGCTTCTGGCCAGGAGGGAGGAGGCTTGATCGAGACCGAGTCCCATGTTTAGCCTTGTCGTTCGTGTCTCTTTCTGTTGAACCAATTCGGACAGGGACAGGGTTGGCGTGGGAGTCATTGGACAGGCAAGGAAGCAAGTAAGCAAGCAAGCAAACAAGCGAGCCAGACACGAAGAGTGACAGGGAAGAGGCAAGAGACAGGAGACTGGGAAGGAGAGATGGAACGAGGCTCTGGGACGCTCAGACTCTCACAAATCAGCCATTTCCGCCGTTGTGTAACCCTGTCGTGACTCTTGTGAGTCTGGCTCTTCAATACCAGATACCAGGGGGATACGCACGCATACGGGTGTATGTACTCATAACCCTCTAAAACGGTTATGTCTTGTTTCTCATTTGGCATCTAGGCTCTGGGCTCTGGGCTGTGGCTTTCTATTCGTATGTTTCTAGAGACGCCACCTTCTTCCCTGTCACATTCTCACCTACTCGTGTTCGAGGGTTGCTTGACCACTGCCACTGGGGGCTTCGATAGTCAGGAGGGAAAGGCGGCAGCCTATCTCGGTCAGGTGGACACAGGCACATATTGTACCTCGAACGAGTAGTAATAGTACAGTAATTGCCACTGTGATGCAACGACGTGGTTATCCTCTGTTCTCTAGGTAAGTCATAAGGCTGAAAAGGGGGCAGAGGTGCCAAAGGTGTCAGAAATGCTCTTCACGAATGCCTTGCCCTGCCCTGCCCTGCCACGTTACAGACGCAATCTCAGACGGACGAGTGAAAACTCTCGCTGTATCTCAGACTCGTACCCGTA